GGTCTCAGAGTAATGGGGACTGACCTAACAATTATCTGAAATTTTGACTCCTTAGGATTAGCAGGAAAGTTAGAGTAAAATTCTTGAATTACAGAGGCATTAAACTTACCAGAGAGAGAGTTTAGGGCATGAAGGTGGTAGTGCTCCAAAATTTGATTTGCAAACTCCTGAGCAGCCAAAGGAATAGCATCAAACTGGTAAGACCTCTCAGGAACAAATTTCCTTTTGGAGAAAACTTCTTCAAAGAAGGAGGCAGCCTCAGAAGACACAAATGGAGAGGAATCTCCAACAGGAACAGAGGAAGAGGGACGGGTTCTAGGAGCCCTAGGAATTGACGGATTGAAATCCACCCTGTCAGTGGATTTTGATTTGGAGCGACGGTGGTAAGTGTGGAGAGGCTTGGAGGAAGACATGGTCAGCAGCGGGAAGAAATTTGGAAGAGAAAACAAATGGAAGAAGGGGCGAAGAGACCAGAACAGAGTGAGAGGGAGAAAAAAATCTGAAATGGAGACGAAGTCGGGACTGATGAGAACAGAGAGAGAGATAGGAGGCAAACGAAACTGACGAAGAAGAGGAAAATAAAAGGCCTAAAAGGGTATGGGTTTGTGCGACGAAGACACAAATTATTCGTCACGCAAAGTTCACAAGAAAATACTTGCTCGACGAATATAATTTTCCTTCGTCGCGCAATTTGAGGAAGAATTTCAGCCCCTCTTGCGCGACGAATGTTACTTCCGTTGTGCAGTAGCATTTCATTTATATCCCCTGCGCAAAATCGAATCCCAAAATTTGGGCGGATGAGTAAACTTGTGCGACGAAACGTGTTCTTTCCGTTGCGAAAAGTGCATATTTTCATAACCTTGCGCGACGCATATTAGTTTGCTTCGTCGCGCAATCTGAGGCACAATTGCAGCCCCACTCTGCCCTAACACTTAGTAAAAAAATTTCATATCAGATCTTGCGGGACGAATGTTACTTTCGTCGCACAGTAGCATTTCATTTATATCCCCTGCGCAAAATCGAATCCCAAAATTTGGGCGGATGAGTAAACTTGTGCGACGAAACGTGTTCTTTCCGTTGCGAAAAGTGCATATTTTCATAACCTTCCGCGATGTAGGAATCTCTTTCGTCGCGCAAAATTGGCAAACCTTAAACTCCAATCCCACATTTTGGCGGAGATGGCGACATTGCGCGACGGAAATGTAATATTTCTCGTCGCGCAAAATTTATTTAAATGAATTTTGCGCGACGCATTTACTTATTTGTTGCGCAAAGTCGAATAAGTTTTCTGAAACTCGCGATCTTCTCCTTCTTCCCCAGTTTCTCAAATCCGCCCTAAAACCTCTCTCTCTCTCCGCCGTGACCTCAGCCCCTACTCCGCCTCAATTCAGACCCTGCCGTCACAAGTGTCGAACCCCGGAGCTTCTCCGCCGTCGCCGTCCATCCTACCGCCGTGATTTCCTCCGTTTAAGCCGAATCTTCGCCGCCGTTGTTCTCTCTCCTCCGGGCACCAAATCCGACAACTGAGGTATGCTTTCTGGACTATTTTTTATGCTTTAGCTGATCGTTGGGTAGGATTTGATTGATTGTTTGCATAGGGTAGTGAATTTGAAACCCTAGGTTTCGGCCAGTTTTTAAATTGAAATTCCAGCCACTTCCGGCCGTTTTTCGGGGTAGGTCCGAGAACAAAAGTGCCTCCAATTGATGTTTTGAACCTAGGGTAGGAACTTTAGCCCTTAATTTTTAGGATTTTTTGACGATTGTTATTGCTTTGGGCACCCACGCGCTGCCAACGTGTGTGGTGGCGCGTGGTGTAATGTAGCATAGGGCATTGGATCCCAGTGCAATCCCCTCATTGTCACGAGCATGTAGGTATGCTCGGATTGAAATTTGGTTACCGTTTGAGTCTCGATCGGATTTTGCTTATTGTACGATTTCCGGGTTTGATATGTTCGGACCGTTGGATCGAGCTGAAACTCACATATGTGGTACCATGTATTTATAGGATCGTTTAGAATTCGATGGATCGTGGATCGGAGTCCCGGATACTCCGAAATCTCAAACCTTAGGTCAAACTATGATTTTAATTAATTAGTTCAATTTTTTAATGACACTGTATGTGCTAAATTTGATTAATGAAATTGTGCAGATGTCAGACTTGATTAGACGTCGTAGTCGTCACCCCCGGCTCAGCCGATATCAGCTGCCACTGCAACAACACTGATGGAGCAGGACCACGTGCTAGCTGGTCCTAGGGGATCCCAGGCGCCTGCTTCATCAGCTTCTTCGGTGGTGAAGCCTCTTCGCCCCGTGCGGCGAGACCGGCGGGGC